CTCTAAATACTTCGTTCTTACATGTCTAAATATATTTACTCATATCTTAGGATTATGTCAAGTGATCAGAAAGAGGAAGTCAAAAGCCAATAATATACAGTGTGGTTCCTTTTAAAAAAAAATCATCCAGATCCACTCACATTTTTTGAGCCACCCTATAGAAGTTAAAATATTTTCCTGAAAGCCACATCCTGGTACATACTTTAAGTTTGCACTTAAACAAGACTTCCAATTTTTATTCTAGGAGCTACAATTGCCCGACGCACTATTGCAGACCCTGTATAATAATTTTCTGTGTATTTTTTCCGATATTATAGTCATTCCGCCATTTGGGGCAAAGATAAATCCAACACATAAGAGATAATTAAAATTGGTTTAGGCGTTTCACTGAGTTATAAATGGTGTGCTCACCCGACTTTCTTCTATTTGTTAAGATTTCTCTTTGGGAAATATAATAATTGTTTATTTATTAGAGACGTTATGTTTATTATTATTAGTAACATTTTTTAAAATATAAAAGATATTAATTTTAGTATTGATAAAATATTTCGCTTTACTACCTACATGTTTATTGACAAGAAAGATTGTGCAGAAAATTATATTAAAATATCTAATTAAGTATGATAGAAATATTTCTACAAAAATATGTATGTTAATTTCTCGATAGTAAAGGAAAAAATGAAGCTATTTTATTTTAGTCGCTAAAAATATACAAAAATGAAAAATTTCATTATTTATAATTAAAAACTTTTTTTTTTTTTTTTTTTTTTTGACAAAAATATAAGAAAAAAACAGTTAAAGACTTGTATATCTGAGCCAAAATGCAACACCAAATACCCAAACAACACTGACACTGAGTGATCATTGCACTCGGCAACTTACGGACTTGTGTCGGTGATTCCACTGGATTTGTTCAGGTCTAGGTCCCCCCTGTAAGGAAGCAACTATGCTACATCTATACATCTAATGAGATCGTTAACCTTGTTTTAGGCAATGTTGAAACGGAAAACAGTTTTGGAAGCTGCCCTTCTTTCAATATAATATCCTTTTGGATAATATTTTGCCATCATAAAAAAGTACAAATGTTTAGGTTAAAGTAATTCGAGCGATGGGCTATAATATACAATGTGACAAGGAAGTTGTGACAAAAACTGAAATTGCACAAAGTGCCATTTAATACATTTTAATCGAATAAATTGGGTTCTTAACTTATCGTTAACTTATTTTAATTTCGGTTCAATATGTAATTCATCAGAATTCACGTTTTCAATTAATTATCAGTCTCACTTAAATTAGTCGAAATTAGCGGAATAATGAGTGGTTTCAATTATATTTAAAACTACTTTTTACTATACTACTTTTACTATAATTCACAAGGTCCTAAATAACAATTAAAATTAATACAATATCTTAGCAATAGTTTGTGGTAGTCAGTTGAATCCATAGGGAAAGCCACAATAATTCGTTTATAAAACAATAATCTTTTCATTTCTAACCACATTAAAATTTCTCTAAACAGATGATAAATTTTGAAGTATAATTAATTGGCAAAAGTTAGAGCCTCATTCGAACCTCGAAATTAGTGGATAAAATTGAGTAGGTTCAATTACACTATACATTAGAAAGCTTCATTCACAAATGTTTAAAAATACAATTAAAATTAATAGAATATCCTAGCAACAGCTTGCGTTAAGTGCCCTACCCACGCGGCAATTTCTTTTCAATCTGCAGGGCAAAATTTGCAGGCACCCTGCAGATTGCTTTGTATGTAGAGTAATTGTGACAATAATAAGGGACAATTTACAAATTGGCGATTGGCTAGGCTGCCCAAACAATTTTATTTCCGATTCCTGCAAGTTGGGACGTGTGTAGAGCGCGCCAGGCAATTCCACAGAAACCGACTGGTGCGGTGTATCGTTTCGTTTTGTTTTAAGTATTAGTAGCAACTGTTTTAAAGTGGTCAAGATGTTGGCCTTAGAGAAAGAAAGATGCCCAGTATTCGAACCAAGATAAAAGACAAGGGGGATTTGAAGTCCTCGCTCATTCTTAAAAAAATTCTAACGTCATCCACTGCCAATTCTCTCATCAAATTTATATGAGAGAAATGTTTTCTTTGCCTTAACCAGTTTTTGATCCACCACCTTCTTTTATTATGACTTGGAATTGCAGACATTGCTAAGGCAATGCCAACTTTTTTTTTGTTAAATATGGAGCCATAATAATATCACAAATCTCTCAACTTTGATGTCTCTTGAACTGATTGCTGTCCTACTAATTGCATCGTATGGAGGAGAGCGCCAATTTGATACAACACACAATCTGTCGGATCCTGTTAACTGTTCCCTGCTCATTGAAATAAAAATTGCCGCCATGATTGCCGCGTGAGTAGGGCATTTTAGTCAATTGAATCTATACCGGGTGCGTCTCAAAAGTGGCTCACCCCCTGTAACTTTTTATTTTTTCAGGAAAACAACGAGATTTGATATGTTAGTATATGACATAAATTGGGATTAATTGACGTATTCAATTGTTTTCGGCCACTTCCTGTCTCACCGGAAATGGCCTACTACTTTTTATTCGATAGAAAATGATATTCTGAATAGATTGTGTATCATATGTCAACTTTTGACATTATCCCTTAATAAAAAATCGTATTTTAAATCTCAATCTAGAGTGTCATGGCTATGTTAAAAACAGCAATTCTTAATGAAGGAGCCTTGGAAAAATAGATTTAATCGTCTAATGTTTTTAGTGCCTTGTCCTGGCCGGTTAGAAATGCCCAAATCGTATTTTTAATCATATCTCCAATTTTTTCAAATGGAACGAGGGTAGCTTGTTAGCATATTTAGAAAATGCTTTACGAATAATTTGATATTACACAATTGTTTATGTTGCAAATAAAGCATATGCGAAAATGTCAAAGTTGACATATGATACATGTCATTCTATTCAGATTGTTGGCTATATCAGATAAAGTAAAAAAAATACCGAGGGGTGCCATTTAAAATCAAAAGTTGTAGTCATTTCCGGTGAAACAGGAAGTGGCCGAAAACAATTGAATACGTCCAATTAATCCCAATTTATATCGTATACTAACATACCAAATCTCGTTTTTATCTGAAAAAATAAAAAGTTATAGGGTGAGTCACTTTTGAGACGCACCCGGTAGAGAAATACCTAATATTTAGCTTATAAAACAATCAACTTTTGCTTTCTAACCACAAATTCTCTGGAAGAATGATAATCAAAGGTCAAAATGACATTCTTCGCAAATTTTATTATTAGTGGGAAAAGTTTGGTAGCTTTTTCTACTAATTGAAAATGACTAACTAATAAAAAACTAAATTAAATATCACTAATTTTGATGTTCTGAATACTTAAATTAAAATTACAGAAACATCTATGCTAGTTGAATCCACTAATTTAGTCCACTGATTGCGGGGTTCTAAATGTTTTACGAGTTTACGATAATTTACAATGAAGAAAATAGAAAAAATTGGTTAAGTGCGGGTCGGACTCGCGCACGAAGGTTCCGTACCATTCATTATCTATACAACATTAGACACTATATTATTATAAACTTTTTTCCAATTTAGCTGAAATTTTGAATGCGCGTATAAGTAATTTAAAAAAAAATGAAAACATTACTAAAATTGCATTAATCGATAATAAATAGCAAAAAGTAAAAATAAATATGAAAAATAA